TCTCTCTCTGACCCTCCCCTGTTCATGCTGTCTCTCTCTCAGAAATAAATAAAACATTTGAAAAAAAAAAAAAAAGAATTCTTTAAAAAAAAATACATAATCATGACACTATTATCATGACCAAAAAGTACACAGTAATTTAATATTGCCAAAGTCAGTGTTCAAATTTTTCTAATTGTCTTATGTTTTTTTCCCCTTACAGTCTGTCTATCTGAATCAAGATTCAAATAATAAAACTGGTTATATGCCTCTTAAACTTAATTCTTTTTCTTTAATTCATTTAAAAAAATTAAAACTTTTTATTATGGAAAATTTCAAACATAACCAGAAGTAGATAGAGTAATATATGTCATTGTAGTTTTAATTTGTATTTGTTTTATTAGAAGTTTGAGCATCTTTCACAGATTTAAAACCTTTTATATTTTTCTGTGAGCTGTCTGCTCATGTCCTTTTCCTGCTTTTCTATTTTAGTTTTTTGTACTTTTTTTTTTTTTACAAATAGTTTATTGTCAAATTAGTTTCCACATAACACTCAGTGCTCATCCCCACAAGTGTCCTCCTCCATGCCCATCCCCCCCTCCCCCCCACATCCATCAGTCCTCAGTTTTTGTCAGCATTCAAGAGTCTCTCATGGTTTGCCTCTCTCCCTTTCCCCCACCATTTCCCCCCTTCTTCTCCCCTTGTTCCTCCGTCAAGTTCCTCCTAATCCTCCTATACGTGCCAACATATGATATTTGTCCTTCTCTGCCTGACTTATTTCGCTCAGCATAACACCCTCAAGGTCCATCCATGTTGCTACACATGGCCAGATTTCATTGTTTCTCATTGCCATGTAGTATTCCATGGTATAGATAAACCACATCTTCTTGATCCATTCATCTGTTGATGGACACTTAGGCTCTTTCCATGTTTTAGCTATTGTGGAGAGTGCTGCTATGAACATTGGGGTACATGTGCTCCTATGCCTCAGCATTTCTGTATCCCTTGGGTAAATTCCTAGCAGTGCTATTGCTGGGTCATAAGGGAGTTCTATTGTTAGTTTCCTGAGGAACCTCCACACTGTTTTCCAGAGGGGCTGTACCAGTTTACATTCCCACCAACAGTGTAGGAGGGTGCCCGTTTCTCCACATCCTCGCCAGCATCTAGAGTTCTCTGATTTGCTCATTTTAGCCACTCTGACTGGCGTGAGGTGGTATCTCAGTGTGGTTTTGATTTGTATTTCCCTGATGAGGAGGGATGCTGAGCATCGTAGTTTTTTGTACTTATTGATTTGTAAGAGTTCTTCATATATTAGTGAAAAGAGCTATATATTATATATGTGGCAGATATTTAGGCATTTCTGAATAGTGAAAATCATAGAACATTTTCTTTGTTCATTTTCTTTGTTTCTGAGTTCTTGCAACATTTCTTGTCTGTTCTGTTCAACTCTCATGTGATTGATCCCTCTTGTGATCTTCATTATTTTTTATTTTTTTAATGTTTATTTATTTTTGAGAGAGAGAGAGACAGAGTCCAAGCAGGGGAGGGGCGGAGAGAGAGGGAGACACAGAATCCGAAGCAGGCTCCAGGCTCTGAGTTGTCAGCACAGAGCCTGACACGGGGTTCGACCTCACGGATCATGAGATAATGACCTGAGCTGAAGTCAGACCTCTCTTCTGGTCTTTATGTTTAATACAGCTGTTGGTAACCATCTATAGGCTTGGGTCCAGCACCCCAATCAGACTGTCAGCTCCTTGTTGATCCATGACAAGAGGCTTCTACTTCCTTCTTTCCTTCTGTGTACTCTGGCCAGAGCAGGTGTCATAGGAAGTGTCAGAGATGGGTAATGAACTGAGACGGAGCCCTAGCTATTTAACATATTGTTGGTGTTGAAAACAAGAGACTTTCTAGATACCCTGTTCATGTTTCCTTAAGAGGGTAGGGACATAGTAATAATTTGTGGAATTGAATTAAATCCTAGCATTGACTCCTAAGTTTGAAAATTGTGCCAGGACTACGGAATTTAAGAAACAAATGAGCAAAGAAGAAAAAGAGAGAGAGAGAGAAACGAAAAAATGGACTCTTAATTGTAGAGAACAAACTGATGGATACCAGAGGGGAGGGTGGCAGGGGGTAAAGGAGAAATAGGTGATGGGGATTAAGGGACGCACTTTGCCATGAGCACTGGGTATTGTATGGAAGTGTCAAATCACAGTATTGTACACCTAAAACTAACGTAACACTGTATGTTAACCATACTGGAATTAAAACATTTTTAAGTGTCCAAAAAAAAAAAAAAAAAGGAAAATTGTTCCTGGACGTCAGGAAGGTCCTCCTTGGGTTTTCTGAAATGCCCAGTGGTATTTCATTTCGGTTGTAACAATGAATTAGATTATTTGTAGAAGCCATGTGCTCTCTCATGAAGGACAGGGCCAGGCTCAGCCAGGGGTGGGCCCAAATCATAGGCAAGCTGTTCAGAAGACACCGGTCCTCTAGGATGGTGTTTAGGGTTTCTTCTTCCTCTGGATGCACTGGAACCAAAAGCCCTGAAGACACATCTCAGCTGTGTGTGTGTGTTTGTATGCTTAGGTGTGTGTGCACTGCCTACACCAAGTGCAGAGGGAGGCAGAGGACACTCTGAGCCCATCAAGGTCTGCCAAAGGACAGTTTGTTCGAGTGCCTCTCCGCCGGGGTGAAACAGGAGGCATCCCGTGATAATGTTTCCTGTTCCCCCAGCTACGGGGGTGGAGGGACAGAGTCTGCAGGAGGCCAAGGGTGAGGCCTCTGCTGAGTAGGGGGCTCCGGTCACATTGATGTGCTGGCGCCAATCATGATGACAGCAGCTGGCATTTATTTATTAGATGCCTAGCACACGCCAGGGGCAGGGCTGGGTGTTCCCATGTGTTGTTACCCTCAAGGGGACAGAGCTTGGTGTTCTGGAATCCCAGAGTGATGAACACGTAGTAGGATTGAACAAAGTGGGTACAGTGTAGGAAAAACATGAAACCAACCCTCATTCTCAATGCCAGGGAGACATTCTGGAGAGGTAAGGACTGTGGTGTCCCAGTTAGAGGGAACTGCTCTAGCTGATTTTTCCCATGTGGGCCTAAAGCTGCAAGGTCTTTGGATTTTTTTTTTTTTTTCAGGAGAATCTGGGAACTTAGACTTCTTTCTAATCAGTTTTATTAAGATACAATTTACATAGAATAAATGGCACATACACACACTATGTACAGTTTACCTACACAGTTCAACAAGTGTGTACATCCAAATCAAAACACAGAGCAATTCTAAGCCTCAAAAAGGTACCTAGAATTTTAATATAAAAGTCTCCTAGATTTAAAGTGTTGATAACACATTAAAAGAATTAATATGCTGTGCAGGCCAAACAAAATGTGTCTCAAGCTCTTTTTGGCTCCCAGTTCAGGTGTCTGTGGCCAAGGAAATGGAAAGGACCTTCAGCGGTGAGAGAATCTCAGGGGCTCAGCCCAGGCTCGAGGCTGTACTGTGACCAGAACTGCTGCTGTGATAGAGACCAGTAGGAGACTTAGGAGCTGCACCAGTCAAAGGCTTGAAACCTCTAGAAGCACCCGGGGCACCCAGCAAGGGGTCAGGTCATCTAGAAATATTTGCACTTAGAAACTTGAGTGCTCCTACCATTTCAGGAGTAAGACCACTGGCCTGGTGCAGACCACTTAGAGTTAAAGAAAGAGCTGCCCACTCTCCACAATAGCTAAAACATGGAAAGAGCCTAAGTGTCCATCAACAGACGAATGGATCAAGAAGATGTGGTTTATCTATACCATGGAATACTACATGGCAATGAGAAACAATGAAATCTGGCCATGTGTAGCAACATGGATGGACCTTGAGGGTGTTATGCTGAGCGAAATAAGTCAGGCAGAGAAGGACAAATACCATATGTTTGCACGTATAGGAGGATTAGGAGGAACTTGACGGAGGACCAAGGGGGAGAAGAAGGGCGGAAATGGTGGGGGAAAGGGAGAGAGGCAAACCATGAGAGACTCTTGAATGCTGACAAAAACTGAGGACTGATGGATGTGGGGGGGAGGGGGGGATGGGCATGAAGGAGGGCACTTTGGGGATGAGCACTGAGTGTTATGTAGAAACTAATTTGACAATAAACTATTTGTAAAAAAAAAAATAAAAAAAAAATAAAGGGAGAGCTGCCGAGGGCTTCTCTAGGTCAGATTCCGAGTGTCCTTACACAATTGATCCATCCATCCATCAATCTGGCTCATTGAAGACAGATAGCTCCCTGTCTCAGGCAGGATAAAATCACCAGAACTACTGAACATTCCACAAATTAACTCCCCAATCCTCTCACTAACTCTATGAGGCAGATAATATTATCATCCCCATTTCACAGATGAAGAAAGTGAGATACAGAGAAGTGAAGGATCTCCTCTGAGTGGTGAAGATGGAGTTTAAACCCAGCAGGTCTAACTCAAGAGTCTGAGAAGCTGTGCTTCCTGCCACGCTACTGTACTGTAAAGGGGTGACCGCAGGATACGCCAACCCAGCTCCCTGTCAGACACTATTCATTGATCACAGCACTCTCCCTACCCTACTCCCCCCGACCACCTCATTCCAGCTCCCAAACAAGCATGGGTTAATCTGACTTTAGAATCCAAGCAATAGCCATGACTGACTGATCTGAATTATGGTTAAATTATTTTAATTATTTAATTTAATTATGGTTAGTTTTCTTTTCCATTCCTTGTCTAAGTACTTTGAGGTCCAGTCTGTTTAGAAGCCCTTGTCAAGTCTCCTCCTTACTGAAAACATGAGACACATTAGAAAGAACTTGATGACCTTGGATAAGTGTCTTTGTCCCTACGATGACAATAGTGATATCTACCCTCTAGTATTACTGTGAGAGCACGTGAAATAACCTAAGTACTTCTACCTTTAGCACATGGTAGATGTTCCACAAATGTCTGTGGACTGAACAATAATGGTGATGATGATGGTGGTGGTTTTTATGCTTGTTCTTTCAGAACAAAGATCGAGTGGAAGAGAAAGGAGCAAAACCAAAGCATGCTCTGAGCACCAGAGCCGTGCAGGCTGAGATCAGGGGGCCTCAGGAAGGTAAGTGGAACCATATTTGCTTTATTCCACATCACATACATAACAGTCTCAGAATAAAAACACCAATGGCAACAATGTGATCACTGAAAAATTGTTGAAGCTGTGGCTGCTTTTTTTTTTTTTAATATTTTGTCCTTTATGCATATCCTACTATGTATTGCTGTTTTATTTATTTATTTTATTTAAAACCTTTTTTTAATGTTTATTTATTTTTGAGAGAGAGGGAAATAGAGTGCAAGCAGGAGAGGGGCAGAGAGAGAGAGAGGGAGACACACAATTTGAAGCAAGCTCTGGGCTCTGAACTGTCAGCACAGAGCCCAACACGGGGGCTTGTACCCATGGACTGAGAGATCATGACCTGAACCAAAGTCAGGTTCTTAACCAACTGAGCCACCCAAGTACCCCTTATTTATTTATTTTTAAAGTTAATTTATTTACTTTGAGAGAATGAGAGAGAGCAGGGGAGGAATGGCGGGGGGGAGGGGCAGAAAGAAGGAGAGGAAGAGAGAGCAAGAGAGAGAGAGAGAGAATTGAATCCTAAGCAGGCTTTGCACTGACAGTGCAAAGCCCAAAATGGGGCTCGATCTCATGACTGTGAGATGCTGCCCTCAGCCAAAATCAAGACTCAAGAGTCAGACATTTATCCGACTGAGCCACCCAGACTCCCTCTGTAACTGTTTTAAAGTCACTTGAAATAGCTCCTTCCTGTGTAAGCTATATCACAAACCTCAGGTCTATTTCACTTTGCTTTAAATCTTTACGGATTGCTTTTTATTAAAGTTTCATTTTCTTTTACAGTTTTGTGTAATATTGATGTGGTTCTAAAGTCAAATAGACAAAACAAGGCATATTAAGAGAAGTCTAGCTTCTGTCCTTGTTCTCTGCATTGTGTTCCCTCCCTTGCATTTAAAAAAGTTTTTGTCTTTCTGCCTCTTTAGACCATGTTCTAAGTGGTTATGAACACACACTCGCACACCCACCCTTCCTAGATAAACAGAAGCACATGCTTTTTTCCACCTAGCTTTTTTTCCCTTACAGTATATCCTGAGATCACTCCATAGCCACCACATAAGGAGATATTCGCATCTTTCTATTTTTTAAATTAAAAAAAATTGTTTTTTTCTGAGAGGGAGAGAGAGAGACAAAGTGAGCAGGGGAGGGTCAGAGAGAAAGGGAGATACAGAATCTGAAACAGCCTCCAGGCTCTGAGCTAGCTGTCAGCACACAGCCTGACGTGGGGCTCGAACCCACCAACCGTGAGATCATAACCTGAACCAAAGTCGGACGCTTAACCGACTGAGCCATTCAGGCGTCTCTTCATCTTTCTATTTTCATGACTGTGTAGTGTCCTGTGTGATGGACCATGGTTTAGGCAACCAGCCTCCTACTGATGGTCACTTGAGTTATTTCCAGTCTGCCTAGTATAAAGATGCTGCACAGAACAACCTTTGCATATTTGTTACAATATCTTTAACATAGAGTCCTCCCTATAGGAACACATTTTTATGCTGCCTATTTTCCTGTAGAAAGCCAGAAGTCGAACCTGCCAGAGGGGACAGTGGAGAGGCCGACCCCCATCAATGCTTCAGGGATAGAATCTGACCTTCTCACCCAGGCAGAGGCCCCACCAGGGCAGGAAGAAGGAGTTCCTGGCCCAGCCCAAGTGCCCCCTGGCCACCTGCCGCTGCCCACAGAGTTGGAAGCCAAAGCTCCTGGAGCATTCACTGAGAATCCTGGGACTGACTTGGAATTGTCTGCGGCACCCAACAGGGTCAGGGAGGCCCCAACCAGCCAGGAGGCTTCACCCAGTACAGAACGAGGATCATCATTCAGCAGGCCTGACCCCCAGCCTTCAGAGGCAGGCATGAGGCTGACTCCAGGGCTGCCAGTCCAGGCCAAGGCAGCTTACAGTGGTGGAGAAATACCTCCGAGGTAAGGAGTGCTCCTCCACAGTGGGCAAGGGAAGGGGTTAACCACAGCCCCTCAGCTGGAGCAGGGCCAAAAGACTAGCTGCTGTGGCTGAGTGTTCACTGTCGGCACAGTGCTGGCTAGCTTCCTGGAGGGAAGGCAAGAGAAGGCACAGGCAATGCTTTTGGGGATTTAGAATACTATTTCTCACCTGGTGTCCATTAGACTTACCTGAAAGGAATTTTTAGAATACCAGTGCCCAGATAGTCTAATTTATTCAGTCTGGAGTGAGGCTCAGGCATTTTCTTGCCCTTCCTTCCTTCCTTCCTTCCTTCCTTCCTTCCTTCCTTCCTTCCTTCCTCCCTTCCCTCTTTCTTCCTTCCTTCCTTCCTTCCTTCCTTCCTTCCTTCCTTCCTTCCTTCCTTCCTTCCTCCCTCCCTTCCCTCTTTCTCCCTTTTCCCTTTCTTTCTTCCTTCCTTTCTTTCTTTTCTTTCCTTCCTTCCTTCCTTCCTTCCTTCCTTCCTTCCTTCCTTCCTTCCTTCCTTCCTTCCTCCCTTCCTCTCTCTCTCTCTTTCTTTCTTTCTTTCTTTCTTTCTTTCTTTCTTTCTTTCTTTCTTTCTTTCTTTCTTTCTTTCAAGCTCCTTGGGTAATTCCAATGAGGAGCAGGACTGAGAGCTACCAGCTCTTAGAGCAATTATAATAGCTACATGCTGGGGCCCACTGAACTCTCCTAGGTGCTGGCATTGGCCAAGTTTTTCACAGGCATGATATCTCTGTAGTCTCACAACATTCCCAGGAGGTGAGTGTGGTTGCCTTCCCATTTTATTGATAAGGAAATAGGCTGAGAGTGGCCAGCACACAGTTAGGAATTCACAAAGTTGAAATCTGAACCTAGGTTTTCAGACTCCAAAAATCTCCTAACTATTGCACCAGCCTCTGTCCTCAGGTCAGCATTTAATTAAGACACAAATACTAAGGTGGGGAGGAAAGGATGGGCTTTCAGAAGGAGGTTGGTATAGGCTGAATCAATCTAGGTGGCTTTCAGGAGAATTATGCTTGGGGTCTTGAAGGGGGTGTTGTGTCCTCATGAGGTAGCCTCAGGACTAGCCCTCAGCCTTCAGCAGACATAGTGCAGGAAAAGCCAGAACCTAATGACTGCGAAGCTCACCCTAGCCTTGTGTTCCTCAACCCTGGGGAGCAGTACATTCTGGCCTCTGGGGTGGTCTGCTGAAGGGTACTTGTGCTTACCTTTCTTTCTTTTCTTCCTTTTCTCAAGGGAGTCTGGTGCCCTCCTGCACCTGTCCTGGGTTTCCCTGACATGTAACAGAGCCCCATCCCTTCCCTGGGCCTGGCACAGAGAGAGGAGCTGCTGTCTGTGTACTGTGGTGACTGGCAGAGAGGCCCACATGATTTGTCTGCCTTTGTTCTGGAAGAAAATAAGAGCCTCTGGGAGACCTTAACCATCCAAAAGGAGGGAATCCTGGCAGGCATCCCTGGATCCTGGCCAGGGCTGTAAATATGCAATCTAGGGATAGGGATGAACTTGCCATGAACTTGTTAGAGGCCCCCAAAAAGATTCTGCCTAAGGGGGAAGGTTTCTATGTCAGTTTCAGCCTTGAGCTGAACTTTAGGCACACTAGACCTCCCTGGGGCTCAGGAAGTGAAGAGATCACTACCTGTTCTTCTTCAGCCAGCACGTGGGTATATTTTGAGAAAATAACTCAAGCATCAGCTCTGATCGGCAGTGGCTGCCTGTCTAGAGGATCCTGAGACCCTAGCTGGAGTTGGAGGGACACAGTGCTATAACTGATTAGCCACGCCTGCCCTCTGTCCTGGATGTGCTGTGAAGGAGGAGTGAAAGCCTTTAGATACTCAGTGGCATGGGAATGCATGTCAGTACATTTGGGACACCCCATGCTCTTCCAGGTATGAAGACCAAGTGGCCAACAGTGACTCATGGCCTTATCAGCTGGCCACCTGACCACCTGGATACTCTTCCAGCAACTGGCTTCCTGAAGTTTCCTGTGTCCTTCAGTTGAGATGAGGCCTGAGCTAGGCTTGAATGCCACCCTTCCCACCCTACCTTGTCATCACCGACCCATATTCACTCCCGAGGGTCACAGTGCTGGGGGGATTCTGCTGCCTCTTGCCCAAGGCTGGCTGTGGACAGGCTTGCACAGAGTCAGGTGCATCCAGGAATAGGCACTGCTTTCAGAGGACCTGATGCAGCTCAGGGAGGGGCTGGGCCATTGACTGCTAGGGAAAAGCCTTACTTTTTTTCTCATTATGGTAAAAAAACACATAATGTAAAATTTACCAACTTAACCATTTTTAAGGATGCAGTTCAGTAGTGTTAAGTGTATTCAGGTTGTTGTGACACAGATCTCCAGAACATTTTAATCTTGCAAATCTGATCTCCATCCTAGATCCTGGAAACCACCATTGTAGTTTCTGTCTCTGAACTCGACTACTATTTACTTGAGTACCTCATATAAGTAGAATTATGTAAGTGGAATCAGGGTTTTTGTGCCTAGCTTATTTCACTTAGCATAATGTCCTTGAGGTTTATCTAGTAATAGCATGTAACAGGATTTCCTTCTTTAAGGCTGAATAATTTTCCACTGTATGGATATTACACATTTTGTGTATCCATTCACCTGTTGATGGACAGGGTATATGAATATGGGTATATGAATATCTCTTTGGAACTTAAGAAGTAGGACTGCTGGGTCGTATGGTAGTTTTATTTCTAAATTTTTGAGGAACCATCATCCTGTTGTCCACAGTAGCTGCACCATCTTGGGTCTCACTTTGCGACCCTCTGAGTTTTCCCCCATTTGTGGAAACTCAGCACTTTTGTGAGGTATCAATGTCTCTGTTTGACAGAAGAGGCAGCTGATGCTGACCTTGTTCCAAAGTCATCCAGCAACATGGTCTAGAGCTAGGACTGGAAAGGAGGCTGCCTGGCTACCTCCTGAGACTTAGTTCATGCCAGACCTTCACTCCCTCACCCCCTCACCCCCACCTCAACACACATAGACCCTGGCAGTGGGGTTGTGAAGAACAGTCAGAGAAGGGGCAACTCTGAGAAGGAGGGTCCAAAGCCCTGAGGGTCATGGCTCCCGGGTTCAGGATCCTTCCTTCTGAATGTTGTCAGGGCTCAGAGGGCCTTCCTGACCTCCAGCTGGGCTCCCGAACCCCAATGCCACAAGGTCTGGGTAATGAAAATGGATAAAGTGGGCCCTGTGGCATCACCAGGGTGCAGCAGGGTCTGTGGGGAAGTGCAGCTGCTTCTCAGCTCTGCCAATGTGCCCAGCTCAGCCAGGCCTATTTGTTCAAGAGAAATGAGAAGTCTAGTCTCTACGAGCAGTTACCTGATTTTAATAAAATATGTCTGACTTGGGGCTTCCAGTGTGATATTTGACTTGCTTCACCCTTTCTTCATTTAATTGAAAGGGAAACTGAGACCTAGAGAGGGTGGGAAGAGCCCAGGTCTCCTGCCTCCAGGCCATAGTGCTCCTGGGGCAGAAGCAGGTTTCCAAGGACTTCAGAGGCAGCTGGTGCCCACCATCCAACACAGGTTACATCAGCCTTCCTTGGACACTCATCCATTGGAATTCTGAGAGCAGATGGTATCTTCTCACTGAATCCAACCTCTCTCAGGTGTCCTGTCTGTGCAGAGGTAGTCAGGGTATCTAGAGAGGCTGGGGTTGGGATGTTGTTGTTCCAAACACAGTCTACCTTACTATTACAACAACCCGAAGGACCCTTTTTATGGATGAGAAAACTGAAGCCAACAGGCCATGATCATTGAGTAGTAGCAGCAGGCCTTTGAGCCCAGGTCTGTGGTGACTCAAAAGTCCTTGCTTTTAAGGCCATATTTTATCTCTGCTCCAGGATCTCCATCCACGTGCAGGAAACAGACACCCCTGGGGAGCTGCTTGTGACACGAGGGGGCAGCCTCAGACACACACCCCCTGAGGAGGCTCCAGCAGCTGCCTATCCAAGTGAACAGGACCCACCTGGGCCCAACCCCCAGACCCCTGCAACCAAGTCAGAAAAACAGATCCCAAAAGGAGCCGGCAAGATTTCTCTGCTGCGGAAGCAGAGCAGCAATGAGGGAGCAAAGGCAGAGGAGAAGCAGGGACCTGGGGCTGAGTCCACCATGGGACCAAGAGGGGCCAGGAGGAACACGGGAGACCATGCTGGAGCCCCGGGCCGGCATCAGGACAAAGTCCCAGGGACAGAACACCCTGAGCCTGGAAAGGACTGCACAGCCGGAGGTGTGGGCAGAGCTGAAGCAGGAAGTAGGACCCCCCTGGGGGCCGAGGCTGGCAGTGTGGTTCTGGGTAAGTGAGCCCATTGCTGTGTGCCCAGTAAGTGGGTTTGGTGGGCCTGCACCCAGGGGGCCTTTCTGCAGCTTCTAGGATGAGGGAATGTGGGTCTGGGTGGGGCATGTGGGGTCCAAGACTTGGAATATCCTGCCAGTAACTGCTGGGGCTAAAGAGCAAGGCCTGGAGATGCAGCAGGCTGGATTTGGAATGACTGTAGCAGCTGGGGAGCCGTGTGACTCAACAGGGTGGATTTCTCCAAGCCACCAGCCCAGCTGAGCTCTCCACCCTTGGTGTCATACTAGATTGAGCCACAAAAGGCTCCTGTTAAAAAGAACTTCTATTAACTAGTGGACCCAATATCAGCCACCGTGCCCAGTGGTGAGTACTCATCCTGGGGCATGGAAGGGTGTGGTAGGCTCCCAGTGGTGGTGGGAAGCATCCTTATGTTCATGTGACCGAAATGCCCTCAACTCTTCCAGCATTAGGGTCCTACCTCCTTGGTCTGATCCCTCATCTCATGTGGCAGCAGGAAGGCCACACTTTGCTGGTTTCCTGCCCTGGAATTTCTGGAAGTCCCTGAGGAAGGGCTACAGGTCATCTGGGGCCTCTTGCCACTTCTGGGCTCTACAGTTGCCCTGTCATAGTGACATTTCTAGTTGCTTCCTCTCTACCTGTACAACTTGGTACAAATGTGTACAAGGGATTCCTTTAATTCTTGAAACACAGCTGAAGGCAAGCAGAGACTCCAGAATCTTTTCTGAGGCTTGGGTTGGTGATAAAGCCAATGTGAACTCAGGTCTGTCCGTGTGCCAAGATACACGCATTTGTGCTGGTGTTTACTCCCACAGGCCTGCTGAGTGGGGATAAATGGAAACACAGGAGTGGTCATGGAACGTGCTCAGGGCCACAGAGTCAGTGCTGACAGAACCAGGATCTAACCCTGACTGGCTCCAGAACCATGCATGCAAACCTCATGGCTCTACAGCCACTCTGAACAAAAGGCACTTAGTGTGCAGCAAAAACTGCAGACCAATTCTAGATTTGGAATCCTTGTGACACACACTCAGAATCTAGGCTTCCCAGCTTTTCTTAGGGTCCCAGAAAAACAGCAGCTGCAGCAATAACAGCCCATACATATTACTGTTGTGGTCCCCAGCCCAGGGTTTGCCTTTGCAGATGCAAAAAAAGAATGAGCAATATTCTCTCAAGGCAAATTCAAAATTCTACTCTGGGGAGCAAAGGGCTGCTTTTACTAAGATAAACTAAGCTGTATTTGCACTGCACCGGGTGTACGGTTTCAGAGGTATGAGAGTTGTGGGTGGAACACTCTGAGTGAACCATGTCAAGCCCAGACAAAATTTCAACCCAGGCCACTGACTTCCCACCACAGTCTTTAATGCACAAACCAACTTAAGTCATTGTGTATGCTGTTCTGTTTCATTCCTTTACTTAATTTCATGCAACGTTTCTAAATTCCTATTACCTCTGACGGACAAGATTTTTAAAAAACTCTCAGACACTTTTATCTTTCTAAGTGCTGGTGTCCCGTTTCCCCCTTCATACCTCAGATACCACCAACCCACCCCCAGGAGCCCACCTGCTACAGGCTACATCACAGGCTACTTGCCCGGTCAGGAAATCAGAGGGTGCAAGCAGAGGAAGGGTGGGTGTTGGTCTCCAGCTGCCTCCCTGTCACACCATCCTTGCTGATGTCCACAGTCCTGCCTAGACCTTCAAACATAGTCCCATCATTAAACTCTCGATTACCCCATTCAGGTGTGCTTTCTGTTTCCTGCTGGCTATACTGATCCACCCTGGATCCGCTCTTAATTTCAATGAGCACACTGGATGTAACTTCAGTCTTTCAAAGAGCACTGTTGTAAGTGATGAGAGACCTGGGTTTGAATCCTATCTGTCACTGACTCACTGTGTGATCTTGGGCCAGTACCTCACATCTCTGAGACTCAGCTTGCTCCTCTGCTGAATAGGTGACTCCAATGAGGTGTTCCTTGAGAAGGGCGAAGGGCTTGTCTCCAATGACTTAGGAGGCTCACAAGCTGTTGTCTCCCAAACAGATGACAGTCCGGCCCCACCAGCCCCTTTTGAACACCGGGTAGTGAGTGTCAAGGAGACCTCGACATCAGCAGTTTACACAGTGTGCCAGCATGACGTCTTGGGAGGGTAGGTGGGCTTTCACCTTGATGAGGGGGTGGGAGCAAGAGGGTTGGGGGCAGAGACACTTGGAGACCTGAGCTGACATGTTGTTGGATGCTTCTCAGGAAGGGGTTGACCAGGAGCCAAGGCCAGGAATGGGATATATACCACACAGTGTACCAGTAAATGGATAGTCCTTAGAGAATGGGTAAAGAGAATACCCCTAGAGTGCAGGAGAGCCCACATGGTGTGAGATGAAGTATAGGGTGCAGGAGGCCCACACAGTATGGGCATGGGAACCATGCACTAGAGTTGGTAGGGCAGTCTGAGTGGTGTGGAATGAGGGTGATAGTCCCCAGGGTATAGATAGATACTTTATGAGAGGGCGAAGAAGATCTTCTGTAAGTTTCGGTTTAACCAATGTGGTGTTGGGGTGATGAATATAGTACCTCTGGGGTGCAGGGCAATTCCATGGTGATTATGGACAGAGGGCAGGACTAGAAACCCCAGGGTGCAGGACGGCCCACTATGTATGGAGTGAGCCTCTTGGGGCATCAGCCTGATTGTGTTTCTGCAGGGGCCGGTTTGGCCAGGTCCACAGGTGCACGGAGAAGTCCACAGGCCTCTCGCTGGCAGCCAAGATCATCAAAGTGAAGAGCGCCAAGGACCGGGTGGGGCATCTGCCCTGGGCCAGCTGGTGCCTTGGGCCAAGTTCAGGGCTCCTATAGTTCCTTACTGATCTCCCTGGCCCTACACTGCCCCAGGCCCCTGCATGCTTATCAGGAACACTGCCACCTTCCCTGCCTCTTTTCCATGACTCCCACACTCTGCTCAGCACATCACCTCACCTTTGGGCAGCAGGGTCCCTCTGGGCTTCCAGGCTTCCTTCTTGGGCTCAGGTTTCCTATCTGTGGAACAGTTGGGTCTGTTGTAAGAACCTGGTTTGGGTGCTGAGTTGGAAACCTGATATGAGAGTTTGAAAGGAGGAAACAGGGTGGGCATGCAACTTGGGTGGGCATGTGTCTTGGGAGGCATAGCCAGCTCATCTTCCTGACCCATTTCTTGGAAACTCCTTTCCCATCTGACTCTGCAAGGAGGATGTGAAGAATGAGGTCTACATCATGAACCAGCTCAGCCACGTGAACCTGATTCAGCTCTATGATGCCTTTGAGAGCAAGAACAGCTTTACCCTCGTCATGGAGTAGTGAGTAACCCAGGACCTGGATCACTAGCTTCTCTGTGGGCCCAGACTCAGAGCTAGGGCTTGGAGTCGTGGTTCTAGGCAAAGCTCTCCCTTTCCCCTCCCCTTTCTGGGACATCTAGGAAATATCATCACCTCCAGTATGGAGCATGGAGGACAAAGCTATTTGTCATAAATCAACAGTAAACCTAACTGACCTGTAGATGTATGTCGGTTTAGCATACACGGTTTGTAATAATTTTGATTTAGGTGTTAACAATTGGAAATTGGGAAATTTCACATTAAAACCCAGATGTCTTGCTTTTCTTACAAATGTGGACGATCTAGTAATGTTGGACTGCATTTCAGCTAGAACTGGTGTGCTGGAGCTCCTACTTGCTGATTCTGTAGACAGGGCAGCCAGTCTTCCATTTGACACAGTCCCCACCACTCCCAACCACCCTTGAAGCTGAGGCCAGGGCCTCAGAGGCCATTTATTTTTGTGCTTGTGTTGTTATTTTCCTTCTGGTAGGGTTTGTTATGTCATGTCATGTCATGTCATGTCATGTCATGTCATTTCATGTCTCTACCAAGAGGGAAAAAATAACACTGTAGGCAAATGAGTTTATAATCTTGGCACAGAGTATCCAGAGTGAGACTGGATTATCAACATTGAAGACAATCCCAGACTTCCCTTTGGCCCATCAATTCCTTTTTATCACTTGCACTCTGAGCTGGGAACGGGCCAGAACAAAGATCTCTATAAAAACCCCAGATGGCAGTGGCACCCTCAGGCTTACATGAGTTGGCCTCTTTTGACCCTTGGTGATAAGAGTGGACAAGTCCTCTGGGAGCCTTGCTCAGGCCAGTGCCTGCCTCTCTTTGCCCTGGCAGTGTGGATGGAGGTGAACTCTTTGACCGGATCACAGAGGAGAAGTACCAGCTGACTGAACTGGATGTGATCTTGTTCACCAAGCAGATCTGCGAGGGTGTGCATTACCTCCATCAGCACTATATCCTGCACTTGGACCTCAAGGTCAGGCTCCACCTGGGCAAAGGGTGGGTGGGCCCCCAGGCTCCTGAGCTTCTGCTGCTTTCTTACCTTAAATAACTCTATCAACAGATCATCCTGGCTTCCATTCCTGGCTCTCTGCCATTTCCTAGTTCTGGAGTAAATGATTCATGCTTCCTCTCTGAACCTCAGTTCTCCCATCTGTAAAATGTGGATAATTGTAACTCTTTAAGTGTTATTTGAAGATTAAGTGATACAGTGACCTTCTTTTCTTTAAAAACATCTTTAGAGAGAGGCAAAGCAAGAAAAAATGATTAACTATACAGAAGAAAATGATGGTTACCAGACGGGAGATGGGTGGGGGATGGGTTAGATGGGGGATGAGGATTAAGGAGGGCACTTTTGATGGGTACCAAATGTTGTATGAAGTATTGAATCACTAAATTGTACACCTAAAACTAATCTTATACTGTATGTTGCCTAACTGAGGTTTAAATAAAAACTTAAAAACATTTAAGATTAGTTTTTTAAAAATTAAAATAGGAACATATGCTGTGGTAACAAATATAGACAGTATAGAAATGTATAAAATACACAGTAAAAGTTCTTCCTATCCAGTGTCCATGCTAAGAGGTCTTCTCTATTAGCACAAGTATATACAAAAGTGATCACGCTATATACATCCTGTTTTTAAACTTACCTTTTTTTTTAGTTAACAGTACATTGTAGACATCTTTTCTCATTCTCTTTAATGGGCTATGTGATATTCCAATGAGTGAATGTGTTACACTCTTTTTTGTCTACTAGGAGCATCCTAGGAATGTCATGCCTGGCTGGTGGTAAGCACTTGATACATGGTGGCCATTTCTGTGGTTTCTTACTCTGCTGGGCCAACAGGAGGGTGTTTCTCTACCACTCCTTTCAGGAATTTCAGTGGCTCCCCACAGAAGGTGGGAAGTAGGTTGGCCAGAACTTTGTAGGTACACATGGCTTCTTCTGACCATCTTTTCTGATTGACACCAGCCTGTAAAGTTGGATTGCTTAGAAAAAATGATGGAGGGGCACCTGGGTGGCTCAGTCGGTTAAGCGTCCGACTTCAGCTCAGGTCATGATTTCACGGTTGGTGGGTTTGAGCCCCACGTCGGGTTCTGTGCTGACAGCTAGCTCAGAGCCTGGAGCCTGCTTCAGATTCTGTATCTCCCTCTCTCTCTGACCCTCCCCTGCTCACGCTGTCTCTCTCTCTCAGAAATAAATAAAACATTTTTAAAAAAATTTTTTAAATGATGGAGATAGTAGGAATTGACCTTTGGGTTCCTGGATCACTACAGCTAATTTCAGGGCATCTGGATTAGCTGCTTTGTGAGATTGGCAGTTGGGGGAAGCTCAGGCTTCTGCTCTGTGGTTCTGGGTCAAAGACCTGCCTTTGGGGCAACCCCTATGTCTCTGCAACAGGAGCTGATCATTGCAAAGGCCCAGCCAAGAGCAGGGCTTGTGTTGGTTCAGTCCCTACCTGGCCATAAGATCTTGCATAAGTTCCTTGATCGTATTGATTGATCTTGCATAAGCTCTTCAGTTGCAAAATGGGGAATAATAGTATCTTCCTCTTAGGAGTGTTGTATGGATTAAAGCCCCAGAGATGCTGTCTGATACGATAACCATAAGCTCACATGTGGCTATTAAACACTTGGAATGTGGCTAGTGTGACTGAGGAACTGAACTTTAAATTTAATTATTTTTAATTCATTTAAATTAAAAAAACTGGCACTTAGTTTAGTCATTAGTGAACTTTTAAGTATATTTGAGATGACATCACTATGTGAATTTACTTTTCACCTATAAGTTTCATGAAATCTCAATACTATTAATTCATGAAATCTAAATATCAAAATTATTTCTGATGAAAATTTAGTATCTGAATTGAAATGTGCTGTAAACATAAAAATCCACACTAGATTTCTAAGTCTTAATATGAAAAAACAATGGAAAATAGCTCAGCAATATTTTTCATATTGATAACCTATTTAAATGACAAAATATTGGACATATTGGGTTAAATAAGATATATTATTGAAGTTAAGTTTTAGAAAATATTTTAAGATGAATGAAAATAAGAACACAACATACTAGAACTAGAACATATTAGGATGCATCCAAACCAGGAGGAAATTTGTAGCTACAAACACTGGTATTAAATAAGAAGAAATATCTCAAATCAATAATTTAACATCCCACCTTAAGAAACTAAAAAAAGAAGAGCAAGTTAAACTCGAAGCAAGCAGAAGAAAGGAAATAATAAAGATTAGAGCAGAAATGAATGAAACAGAGAATAGATAGAGAAAATCAGAAGCACCTGATGGCTCAGTCATTTAAGCATCCAACTCTTGATTTTGGCTCAGATCCTGATCTCAGAGTTAGTGAGATAGAACCCAGCATTGGGCTCCATGCTGACAGGGTGAAGCCTGCTTGGGATTCTCACTCTCCTTCTCTCTGCTTCTACCCTGCTTACATGCTCATTCTCTCTCTCTCAAAAACAGTAAATAAACAACAACAACAACAAACCAATAGAGAAAAATCAATGAAACCAAAACATGGCTCTTTGAAAAGATCAATAAGCAAAAGATCGTCAAATCTTTAGCTATATTGGCCAAGACAAAAGGAGAAAATACTCAAATTACTAAAATCAGGATTGAAAGAGGAGACATCACTACTAGCTGTAGTGATGGAAATTGTAGAAAGAAAAAAGGATTCTAAAGGAATAATGTCAAAAATTGTATGCCAACAAGTTAGATAATTTAGATAAAATGAACAAATCCTAGGAAGACACAAACTACTGAAAACTGAAAAAAGTTAAAATCTGAATCAACCTGTAACAAGTAAAGAGTTGGAGTTAATATCAAAAACCATCCACAAAGAAGAGCATAGGCCCAGGTGGCTTCATTGGTGAATTCTACCAATTTAAAGAAGATCTAACTTATGTGTTTTTTCAATGTTTATTTACTTATTTAAAAAATTTTTTGTTTAGGCAGAGAAGGACAAATATCATATGTTTGCACGTATAGGAGGATTAGGAGGAACTTGACGGAGGAACAAGGGGGAGAAGAAGGGCGGAAATGGTGGGGGAAAGGGAGAGAGGCAAACCATGAGAGACTCTTGAATGCTGACAAAAACTGAGGACTGATGGATGTGGGGGGGAGGGGGGGATGGGCATGGAGGAGGGCACTTTGGGGATGAGCACTGAGTGTTATGTAGAAACTAATTTGACAATAAACTATTTGTAAAAAAAAATAAAATAAAATTTTTTTTTGTTTTATTTGAGACAGAGAGAGACAGAGCACGAGTGGGGGAGGGCCAGAAAGGGAGGGAGACACAGAATCTGAAGCAGGCTCTAGGCACAGAGCCCAATTTGGGGCTCAAACTCATAAACTGTGAGATCATGACCTGAGCTAAAGTCAGACACTTAACAGATTGAGCCACCCAGGCATGCCTGAAGAAGATCTAATTTAAAGAAGAATTACTATCAGTTCTTCACAAACTCTTCCAATAAAAATAGAAGATAAGGGAACACTTGCTAACTCATTTTATGAGGTGAGTCTCATCTTGATACCAAATTGGACAAAGATGTCACACACACAAAAATACTACAGACCTATATCCCTTATGAATATAGATGCAAAAACCTCAATAATATATTAGCAAACTGAATACAACAACATATAAAAAGGATTATACACATGACAAAGTGGGATTTATCCTAAGAATGCAAAGTTGGCTTAACATGAAAGTAATCAATGTAATATGCCATATCAATAGAATATAGGACAAAATCACATGATCATTACATAGATGTAGAAAAAGACTTGAAAAAATCAAATAACTTTTCATGATGAAAACACTAAATGAACTAGGTATAGAAGGGAACTTTCTCAGCTTGATAAAGGCCATCTATGGAAAACCCACAGCTAACATTATACTTAATGGTAAAAGGTTGAATGCTTTCCCCTTAAGATCAGAAACAAGACAAGGATATCTGCTCTTGCGCTGCTATTAAACATTGTATTTGAGGCTCTTACCAGTACAATTAGGCAAGAAAGGAAGTAGAGAGTATCCTGATTGGAAAGGCAGAAGTAAAACGGTCTCTATTCACAGATGACATGATTTTGCATACAGAAAATCCTAAGAAGGGTGGAGGGAAACTATTAGAACAAATATGCAGGTTCAGCAGAGTTAAAGGAAATAAGACAAATGTATAAATATCAATTGTATTTCTATATACTAGCAATCAACAATCTGTGATTAAAATTAAGAAAATGATTCCATTTACAATATCATAGTCCTCCCCTTATCCCTGGTTTCATTTTTTGTGGTTTTAGTCACCTGTGGTTGACCACAGTTCAGAAGCAGATGATTCTCCTTCTGACATACAGTTAGAAAGTCAATAGTTGCCTAACACTATATCACAATGCCTATGTCATTCACCTCACTTCTTGTCATCACATAGGCATTTTATCGTCTCATTTCATTCCAAGAAGGCTGAGTACAGTGCAATAATATATTTTGAGGGGGGGGCACATTCACATAACTTTTATTAGTAAGTACATTTTTATAGTTGTTCTGTTTTATTATTAGTTGTTTTTATCTCTTACTATATCTAATTTATAAGTTAAATTTTATCATAAATATGTATATAGGAAGAAGCATAGCATATATAAGGTTTGGTACTATCTGTGGTCTCAGGTTTCCATGGAGGATCTTACAATGTATCCTCCATGATTAAGAGGGACTACTATAATATAAAATCAAATAAAATACTTAGAAATAAATTTAACAGGTGACGTGCAAGATTTATGTTCTTAAAACCACAGAACATTATTATTTATTTCTTATGTATTTTTTCTTTCATAGTTTATCGTCAAGTTGGTTTCCATATAGCACCCAGTACTCATCCCAACAAGTGCCCTCCCCAATGCCCATCACCCGTCTTCCTCTCTCCCCCACCTCCATCTGCCCTCAGTTTGTTCTCAGCATTCAAGAAATCTCTCATGGTTTGCCTCCCTCCCTCTCCCCCACTATTTTCTCCTCTTTTCCTCCCCCATGGTCCTCTGTTAAGTTTCTCCTCATCCACTTATAAGTGAAAACATATGGTATCTGTCCTTCTCTACCTGACTTATTTCACTCAGCATAGCACCCTCAAGTTCCATCCACATTGCTACAAATGTCCAGATTTCATTCTTTCTCATTGCCATATAGTATTCCATTATATAGATAAACCACATCTTCTTGATCCATTCATCAGTTGAAGGACATTTAAGCTGTTTCCATGATTTGGCTATTGTTGAAAGTGCTGCTATGAACATTGGGGTACATGTGATCCTATGCATCAGCACTCCTGTATCCCTTGGGTAAATTCCTAGCAGTGCTACTACTGGGTCATAGGGGAGTTCTATTATTAAGTTTTTGAGGAACCTCCACACTGTTTTCCAGAGGGGCTGTACCAGTTTACATTCCCACCAACAGTGTAGGAGGGTGCCTGTTTCTCCACATCCTCGACAGCATCTATAGTCTCCTGATTTGTTCATTTTAGCTACTCTGACTGGCATGAGGTAGTATCTCAGTGTGGTTTTGATCTGCATTTCCCTGATGATGAGGGACGCTGAGCAATGTTTCCTGTGTCTGTTGGCCATCTAGATCTCCTCTCTGAAGAAGTGTCTGTTCATGCCTTTGCCCATTTCTTCACTGGATTATTTGTTTTTTGGGAGTTTGGTGAGTTCCTTATAAATTTTGGATACTAGCCCTTTATCTGATATGTCATTTGCAACTATCTTTTCCCATTCTGTCGGTTGCCTATTAGTTTTATTGATTGTTTCCTTTGCTGTGCAGAAGCTTTTTACCTTGATGAAGACCCAAAAGTTTACTTTTGCTCTTGATTCCCTTGCCCTTGGGGATGTGTTAAGTAAGAAATTGCTGCGGTGGAAGTCAAGGAGTTTGCTTCCTGCTTTCTCCTCTAGGGTTTTGATAGTTTCCCGTCTCACATTAAAGTCCTTCATCCATTTTGAGTTTATTTTTGTGTATGGTGTGAGAAAGTGATCTAGTTTCATTCTTTTGCATGTTGCTCCCAGCACCAACTGTTAAAGAGGCTGTCTTTTTTCCATTGGATTCTCTTTCCTGCTTTGTCAAAGATTAATTGGCCATACACTTGTGGGCCCAATTCTGAGTTCCACAGAACATTATTAAAAGAATTTAAAGAAGACCTAATAAATGGAAAGACATCCCATGGTCATGGATTGAAATACAATATTGTTAAGATGACAATACTCCCCAAATTGATCTATATAGATTGAACACAATCTCTGTCAAAATTGCAGAAATCAATGAACTGATCCTAAAATTGAGATGGAAATTCAAGAGATGCAGAATAGCAAAAACAATCTTGAAAAAGAAAAGCAAAGTTGAAGGATTCCCAATTTCAAAATTTACAGCTAAGCTAAAGAAATCAAAACAATGAGTTATGTGTATAAAGATGAATAGATAGTTCAATGGCATACAATTGAGAGTTCAAAACCAAACCCTTATATATTTGGTCAATTGATTTTTTTTGATAACTGTGTCATGACAGTTCAATGGGGAAAGAATCCTTTCAACAGATGGTGCTAAGACCCCATGCTTGATATGCATATACAAAAGAATACACTCTATTATACACAAAAACTAAATAGATTGTAGACTTAAGTCTAAGACCTTAACTTATAAAATTCTTAGAAGGAACCCTAGGAGTAAATCTTCATGATCTTGGATTATTAGGTGATAATTTCTTAGATATGACTCAAAAGAAAAAGCTAGGAAAGAAAGATAAATTAGACTTTATAAAAATTAAAAAACCTTATGCTTCAAATGACATCATCATGAAAGCAAAATGATAGCCCACAAAATGGGAGAAATATTTCCAAACAATAGATTTCATAATGAACTTGAAATCTTATACATCAATAATTGAAAGACAAATTTTATTTTTTTATTTTTATTTTTATTTTATTTTATTTTTTTTAATTTTTTAAATGTTTTTATTTATTTCTAGGAGAGAGAGAGAGACAGCGTGAGCAGGAGAGGGTCAGAGAGAGAGGGAGTCACAGACTGAAACAGGCTCCAGGCTCTGAGCTGGCAGTCAGCACAGAGCCCGACGCGGGGCTTGAACCCACAAACCGCGAGATCATGACCTAAGCGANACAGACTCTGAAATAGGCTCCAGGCTCTGAGCTGGCAGTCAGCACAGAGCCCGACGCGGGGCTTGAACCCACAAACCGCGAGATCATGACCTAAGCGAAAGTCGGACGCTTAACCGACTAAGCCACCCAGGCGCCCCTGAAAGACAAATTTTAAAATGGGCACAGGATTGGAACATTTATCCAATAAAGATATACAAATGGACAAAAAGCACATGAAAAGTTCTCAACATCGTCAATCATTAGAGAAACACAATTCAAAACTGCAGTGAGATACTTTGTCATATTCATTAGACCAGCTAAAATAAAAAAATAAAAGTGACAGACAATAAGAAGTGTTGGCTATGATGTGGAGAAATTAGAACTCTCATACATTGCTTGTGGGATTGTAAAATTGTGCATCCACTTTAGAAAGCAGTTTGGTAGTTTTTAAAATGTTAATTGTAGCATCACCATATGACCCAGTAATTTTAACTTTAGGTATGTACTCAAGAGAACTGAAAACATAAATTGACACCAAAACTTGTACATAAATGTTCTTAGCAACATTATGCATAATAGTTCCAAAGTGAAAACAGCCTGAATATTCACTAACAGATGAACAGATAAACAAATATGGTACCTCCATACAATGGAATATTATTCAGCTATGAAAAAGAATGAGGTACTGATACATACTACAACATGGATGAACCTTGAGGACATTATGCTGAGTGAAAGAAGCCAGATACAAAAGGCCTGCATTTGTATGATTCATTTATATGAAATGTCCAGAATAGACAAAGCCACAGAAACAGAAAACATGTTAGTGCTTGCCAAGATTTAAGAGTGAGGGAGATAGAGAGTGACTGCAGATAGGTATGTTGGGTTTTTTTTGATGTGATAAAAATGCTCTAAAGTTAGACAATGAGGATTATTACATAACTGTGAATATACTAAAATCCAGGGAATTTTACACTTTAAAATGGTGAATTTTATGATATCATCATTATTTATATTTATTATTTATATTCCAATAATGTTATAAATATTAAGTTCACTTATTTCATTTTACTTTTTTAATGTGGCTGATGGAAAAATTTTAAATTATACATGTAGTTCACATTATATTTCTATCAGACAGTATTTTTCCAGACCTCATGAAGAAGACGTGGAGACTCTAAATCTCTTGCTCCTATCTGAGGCTTTGCCTAATTCCATTGCAAGATAAATAACAATAAAACCTTCTGTTGAGAGAAATAGTATCTGACATTTGCTTTGGAATCTATACAGTGTTTTCGTGCATGTTATGTGATTCAATTGTCAAACGTCCAGGAGGAAGGCAGGAAGTGGTTCTTATTTCCATTTTATAGATGGAGAAACTGAGGTTTCAGAAGTGGGAAGGGAGTCACCTAAGGCCACAGACCCAGGTAAAAGACCCCTAGACCTCAGGCACTGGGCCTTGGGTCTCCAGGGCCTTTCTACTATAACCTCCCCCCCCACTCCCGCCATGTGTACCAACCCCTACCCCTATCTAAATTTGTTTTGCACAAGCAGCAAGCATCGTTCCGGGCTTCCTCCAGGCCTCAGAGCTGATATGAAGGACTTAAGAGGAGAAGCATGCCAAGACCACCATCTCCATCCCATGGGCCACAGCTGTCACCATAAAATGGCAGACTGACATTGAGCATCTCTGATCTCCTTGACCAGAATTCTGAAGCTTTGGTTCACACCTCTAAGATTATGATATAATTGGTTGGGGTTGGGGCCTGGACACTGGGACTTTTGAGGGATCCCCTGATAATTCTAATGTGTATCCAGGCTTTGGAACCATGACCCCAAGCCAACAGTCTCAAACAAGCATTTTGTGGGCCAAGTCTGCATCACAGAGGTGTTCTATTTGATTCCCACACTTGTATATATGTTTAAATTTGAGTTGTCAATTAAAAGCATGGAGTTTTCTCATAAAAATATGTATTCTGATTTCTCTTGAGGACTGAGAAACTCTGGCAACTGGGCTTGCATTCCTGCAACGTGACCAGTGGTTGGAGCTGCTTTTCACAGAGCAGGAGGCCACCAGTTCTCCACAGTCTACACAGCTCCTTAGCATCTCACACCGCCTACTTTGTTTTCATGATCTATATGTCCCTGTAGGGCTTCCCTAGGCCATTCATTGTTTTGGAGGCTGGGAAACTGAGGCCTATTGATATAAGCATGGGAGTTGACCCCTTCTTAGCTGTTGGTTGACCTAAGCAGATGTCTCTTTCTTTCCCAGCCGGAGAACATACTGTGTGTCAATCAGACAGGACATCAAATTAAGATCATTGACTTTGGGCTGGCCAGAAGGTAAGGGGGTTGTTTTGACACTTTGACAGAACTCCTTGGTGACTGCTTGTGGCTCTCTTGGATGTGGTTATTCACAGTTCAGACAACTTTTGAATTTTGGGACTGACACAGAAAACTCTTTCACTGAGAGGCTGGTGGCCTTCAGTTGTGCAGATAGCCCTTGTGACTACCACAGAGGTAGCTTCATGAAGACTCTGCATGACTCTGCTTGTCCTTAAGAGGTTGTGGGATTAATTGTACTTCAAACCCCCAGTGTGAGCAGAGAGGGTGGGATGGTTCAAGGAGTACCGCTGGGTCAGGGTCCTCAGATCAGTTCTACTCATCCCCCAGGCCTCGGGCCAGGAAGTGCTGAGCTATGTGAGAGCACCTTCCCTGTCAAGGAAGTGAGTGGTTTAAATAGGAAGGTGCATATATAACAGTGTAGGGTGATGTTGGGGTATGTGGTGCGGGGCCACTCAAGACTGGGTTAAATTCTGGTAAAGTGACGATAAAATGAAATATCTGCTGACATGGGCAGTTAGGGAGGTTAAATGAAATAATACATGGACAGTGTAGACCCATCCTATGAAGGTGGTTAGGTTCTCAAGTTTGAGTGCATAAGGTAAACATCATATATCATTTAGAAAATATCTTAAAGTCCCTTCAAATGCCCAAAGCCTGGTGAAGGACAGTTTATCCATAGATAGTTTTACAAGCCTGTCCAGACCAATGTATGGTGAATACAGGGCCTCTGCAGGGTTCTGGTCCCTGGCACGCACACCCACTGGTGCAGGTTTTTAGCAGTGGCAGTAGCAGACCCTTGGCATTGGGGAGGAATGTCCCCCAAACCTTCAAGCACTCGTAGTCTACAAACATGGCAATAGTTGTATGCCCATATCCAGGACTCTTCTAGAATTCTATTTCCACCAAGAATGACATTTCTCTGGGAATCACATATTTTCTAGGTAGGTCTTCATACCACAGCTGAATTTTCAACTCTAAATTTTCTCTCACTCTGATGGTCATTTTCCACAAAGAACTTGTTTTTGTCACTTTATAAGCTTAATGCTGTCTTCCACTCCATCCACAAGGGGAAGAAAGCAAAGCCTTGTCACTGTGGAGACAGAGCCACTTGCTTGCGCTCAGCCTGTCCAGACCTGCCTCCCACAAGTAGCATTCAAAACCACAGTGGCAATCTTCCTGGGTCAAGTGGTAAAAGTTACCTCTTTCCAGGGGTGAAAGATGCATTTTCAGTGCTCACATGTTGGATAGGAGGCCACAGGTAATGTCATGAGAGTAACAGCAGAGGGAAGTTTGTATCATCCTACTGTACCTTCAGGATCTCCATTACACAATGTACTGCTTTTCATGAACAATACCAAATCCCCCAACCCAAATGCTTCAAAATCACATTTAATCCATAATGTAAACAATTGCTTAATATTTTCATAATGTCTTATAAAGTCGGGATGCATCCTAAACACTTGTGTGTCTTATATAGTAGAGCAATGTCTCTGAATCTATTTTGTATTATCACTGCCTGGCTTCCAAGGAGACTTTTAAGACATTTCTCTCCTAATTACCAGGCCCCTCCTCATGAAATTTAATGCTGCAATTGTCCTTTGTATCTTTTTATGTTCTGTGGCCCTTTGGAGAGCCACAAACCATTGTAATAGCTAAGGCTTTATTGCCTTTCCAAGAACCAGTGTTCACCCCCTTGAGGCAATATTGTCTTCATCAGGAATGTACACCCTCCCAGATGTGTATGTAGTACCCTCCCAAATACCAGATGTCCAATTGCCAAATGAGTATTTACAGTGACACACTGTGAATTCAGAGAAAAGAGTAACCAGCTGAGCCTCCTGGGTTCTGGGAAGTCTTCTGTGAGCAGCTGGAAAGGAGGGATGGACAGAGTGTTGTTATCTGCAGACAGTAGGATACTTTAACAATCAGCTGTGGGGGTTAAGGGGATGGGAATGGGTTTGATTTGTAACCTTTACTAATTTTGACTGATTTCAACGTACTAACACCACGTCACTGAATACAGAGTTGGGAGGAGATGTGCACCCATGAGAAATGGCTCCAGCACAACACTGCAGGGGGTGAGGGTGGTGGGAGTAGGAAGGGATGGTGTCAGTATAGGATGTACACTGCACATGTTGAGGCTTCCCACGGGGAATGTGGGAGCAGGAGTGGTTAGGGGGAGGGAGATATAGTGAAGATGAGGGCCTTAATAGAGAGTCCTGAATTTCATGGCTAAGCTGGAACAATTTACTATAGGCCATCGAGTGTTACCTGGTGGGGAGATGGAAAAGGCTGTAGGTCGGGGTGCCTGGGTGGCTCAATCGGTTGAATGTCTGACTTTGGGTCAGGTCATGATCTTGTGGTTTTTGGGTCAAGCCCTGCATCAGGCCCTGTGCTGACAGCTAGCTCAGAGCATGGAGCTTGTTTCAGATTCTGTATCTCCCTCTCCCTCTGACCCTCCCCTGCTCATGCTATCTCTCTCTCTCAGAAATAAATAAACCATAAAAATTTTTTTAAATTAAAAAAAAAAAGAAAGAAAAGGCTGTAGGCCAACTTACCAAACATCAGTTAGTCAAAATCTATCCCCAAACTCTGAGATGTCCATCCAAAACTGTCTGATAAATTCATTAACATGGTCAAAGGCATTGATGAAAATAATTTTGCTGAGGGACCAGAGGCGGAGGGCAAGTTCAAGAAAATAAACATGCGGAACCACATTTAAGAGAAGGCCACCCACATAAAACTGCTGGGTGCTGGGTAAGTGCAGGTGTCTGAAACACGTGGTCCTCAGGAAACCACACTCAGCAAAGCTGTGCTGACAGTCACAGCCTCTGGCTGTAGGAAAAAGGAAAACATCAAAAACATCCTCAACAGTCCAGTAAACTGGCCATTGGGTGAAAGGATCATTTGGCAAATTGGGTTTTGCCAAATTGGCTTGCTTCCTGGGAAGCATGTCTATCTAAGAGGAACAATCTGGGGGGGGGGGGGGAATGTGCAGGTTGAACATATTTTATATGTCACAGGAATTAAATGTTTGTAAAGAGGGAGGAAAAGACAATTATTTTTCCTGTAATACAAACAATAGAAAGTAAAGTTATATTTTTGGGTGGAGCTATTGGAAGGTGCTGAGATTTTCAGTGGGGTCATGTAGGGGGCACATACGGATCTTCACAGGCTGTGACATCCAGCAAGAAGGACCAGCATTAACCCAGGTTGAGCAGTGAGAACCATCAGTAGGTCTAAGTAGGGACATGTCATGGGTCAAGGATAGGGACAGAATGGGGAAGTATCTTGTTTAAGCTTTGTCTCTAGAATGTTGCTCCAGTGCTCATATTGGAATCTAAGCCTATTTCATCAGATCCTTTGGCAGGCAAGAAGATGCCCACCCCATCCCCTGTGAGGCTGCAATCTCATAGGCAACCCTACGGTCACAGAGGGCCTTATGCTAGGAATTTGGAGAGGGGGTATTGGTGGATATTTTGGCATTTGGGCTTAGTTACTGCCACAGTACTGCTGTTTAACAAATGACCCCAAATTGCAGAGGCTTAAAACAATCATTTATTCTCATCTACACATTTGTGAGTCACTGGTGGTGGTATGGGGGAGGGGCATGATATTCTGGACCCAATTCACAGCAGCTCATGACAAGGAATCCTGTAAAGAGTTGTTAAAACACACCATTAATTAAAAAGTTTCTGTCTCTGAATTTGACCACTTTTGGTACTGTACCTAAGTGGAACTATATAACATTTGGGTTTTTTGCGACTGCTTTTACTTAGCATAATGTCCTGGAGGTTCACCCACATTGTAGCATGTGTCAGAATAGCCTTATATTTCAACACTGAATAATATTCCACTGTATTATTACCTACCACATCATTATCATGTATTATTATTTACCACATTTTACTTATGCAGTCCAGCGATAGTCATTTAACTTGGATTACTTAACTCCTTTTGTCTATTGTGAATAATGCAGATATGAACACAGGTGTATAAATATCTCCTCATGATTCTGCTTTCAATTTTTTTGGATATATACCCAGAAGTGGGATTGCTAGATCATATGGTACTTCTATTTTTAATTTTTTGAGGAACTGCCATACTGTTCTCCATAGCAACTGCACCATTTTGCATTCCCACCAGCAAGGATTCCAACTTCTCTACACCCTAGCCAATTCTTGCTATTTTCTTGTCTTTTGTTTGGTTGGATGTAGTAGAAATGATGTGCAGTGGTATCTCATTGTGGTTTTGATTTGCATTTTCCTGATGATTTGTGACATTAAGCATAATTGCTGGGGTGTCTGGGTTAGCGTCCGACTTCGGCTCAGGTTGTGGGTTTGAGCTCTGCATCAGGCTCTGTGCTGACAGCTAGCTCAGAGCCTGGAGCCTGCTTCACATTCTGTATTTCCCTCTCTCTCTGACGCTCCCCTGCTTACGCTGCCTGCCTCTCTCTCTCTCTCTCTCTCTCAGAGATAAATAAAACATGAAAAAAAATTTTTTTTAACTTAATTGCTTTTTCTAATATTTACTGTCACCTCTCCAACAATAATGGTCACACCACCAGAGCAGACCTCCACAGACAGCTGCTATCCAATTTGTTTGTGTTTGCTCATGTGGCTGCATGCCAAATAAGATACATTGATCTTCTCTCCTTTGACATCATAATTACTTGGAGGAAGAGAACTGCGGTTTTCTGATTCTCCCTAGTGACTTAGGAAAGTCTGAAGTTGGGGCCTGAGGGTACGATGATTACCCAGTAAACCACATGTGGTGGGATGTGAGGTCCAGACAACATGGCAGAGAGGAAGGGTTGGAGATATGTAGCTCTGACCAGGAATTAGTCCCAGGAATTCTCTCAGGGCTCACTTCCATGGTCCTCTGCAACCCCTCTTCCCCAGGTACAAGCCTCGGGAGAAGCTTAAGGTGAACTTCGGCACTCCAGAGTTCCTGGCCCCAGAAGTCGTCAACTATGAATTTGTGTCCTTCCCTACAGACATGTGGAGTGTGGGGGTCATTACCTACATGCTGTAAGTGCCCAGGAGCCTGGCTCCCAGTGAGAATAGGGCCCATTGTTTTAGTTTGGGATCCTTAGAAGCAGTGAAAATTTGAGTGCAGAGTCATTTATTCAAGAAGTGTTCCCAGGAAACACCAACAGAGGAGTAGGGAAGTGAGAGGGGAGAAGACACCAGTAAAGCATGAGTTATTGAACCACTTACCATTGTGGGCAATTGGAGTTTAATCCTGTGGGAGAAGTCTGGGATCCATCATGGAACAGCCCCTCACAGTTATTCCATCTGAGGGGGGAGAGAGTAAGGGTGTTTATACCAACTCTTACCAGTTATTGCTTGTGAACTGGTCCTGAGAGCATTGGTTCCTTGAAACTTCTGGGTGGATAAAGCAGCTTCTACCAGAGAGAAAACTCTCCAGCAAGGAAATGCATTTGCTACGGTACAAGTGGGGCTGGAGTACACCAGAGTGGTGAGGAGAGGGAATGGACAGCGCAGAACACTTCTGCTGCATCATCTAACCTTGTCCCTCCTGCCCTGTGCTCCCTGTTTTCTATGGACTGAGGAAGCAGAGTTAGGATGGACTGAGAAGAGATATATGTACAAAGACTAAGAATCCTTGTCTGTGAATTCCCTTGGCCATTTCCTCAAAGGTCCAATCAAGTCACGCTTTGTTCCCAGACTTGTCATTATGGTATAATTGCTACCTTGTGTCCCTACACTTTGTATGTGTGTACTGTGCCAGGTGGGAGAAATCTGAGGCCCGATGCCAGCCAGTTAAAGTGTCCTATGTCTCTATTCTCACTCTAGAGGGGCCTAATGAAGCCAATTTTCCTTTGGTCCCTGAGTCCTGGGGTAGTATTTAAACCAGCCAGGCTGTCTCAGAGACACACGAGGGTAGTTTTAAATTAAGTCAATATGTACTTCATAAATAGACATATTGGATTGGGTCTCAATTTATTCTTCACTTCAGTCTAAGGGGAAAATAGGTAAGTATGAATGGGGGTATACTCAAACACTCTTCATGCCTCTAAATTTTTAGTCCCACCACTTCCCCCACAACAGAGCACACCGGACTATCTCCTATTGATAAGTATTGAGGGTACTTTTCTATTGAATTCTGGTTAGAGCTGCTTGTGCCTTGTAAGACCTCAATCCTGTCATTGCATGTTGGCAGATATGGCTTATACATACTGACAGTCCTTTCTTTCCTCTGTAGACTCAGTGGTTTATCCCCGTTTCTAGGGGAAACAGATGCAGAGACCATGAATTTTATTGTGAACTGTAGCTGGGATTTTGACGCTGACACCTTTGAAGGGCTGTCGGAGGAGGCCAAGGACTTTGTTTCCCGTCTGCTGGTCAAAGAGAAGAGGTACCATTTATTGCTTGTAATTCATAGACCATTCTGATGGTAACCATCCACCTGGGTGCTATGAAGACCAGGCTGGTGCTGTGCTTTCTCTGGACCAGTTCTGTCCAAGATTTCTTAGTCTGCTATGTCTTTGGAACAAAAAAGGTAGCAGGGAAAGAGATGAAGGAAATTAAAAAATAAACAACAAGGAGCCTAAGATCTAGATAGAGTTTTAGAGAGGACCACATATATAAATTAGTCCTTGGTAAGTTATCAAGTTATCACTTTAATAGGTTAATGTTGAAAAAACATTGAGATATGCAGATGTTATTCCCCAGAATAAAAGCAAGAAAACCTCATTTGTTGATAATGAAAACCTACTTAGTTTTCAGCAGGCATATCAAAGTCATGGGTGGAACCATGGAGTTTTCTGATACTCAGAGACTCAGACATGAAGAAATAATGGCAAATGACCCTAGGTGAGGCCCAAGAGTCTGGGCTCTGAGACAGCCCATAGTTCCCTGGCCTTGACTATTTTGTTCTTCTGAATTGTGAAAAGTTATGAGAGGTAAAATATTTCTAATTCAGATGAACAAAACTGACATTATTCTCTGGAAGGAGAGACAAGCTTCTTTCAAGGCTCATGTTCTTTTTCTTCTTAAGAGCAATTCCAGGCCCAGCTGGCCTTCCTACTTCCTGCCTCAATTTCCCAGCTCTTTCTGGAAGAGGTGATTAAACACTGTGATACATTCCCTCTGTAGAGGGCAGGGAACATTTTTGCTGATGAGTTTCTTTTACTTTTAAGGAGGGGAATTTTAGACATAAGGAGTTCCTTTTTAGTATGTGGCATGAATCTGCCTGAATGATTAATTGGTTCCACTGACTCACGCTTCCTACCCAGCTGAACCAACTTCTGGACAACCAGAAAAGGCAACCCTAACTAAAAGTTTCAACTTCTGTTTGATTTCACAGCTGCAGAATGAGTGCTACACAGTGCTTGAAACATGAGTGGTTGAATAATTTGCCTGCCAAAGCTTCAAAATCCAAAGTTCGTCTCAAATCCCAATTATTACTACAGAAATACATGGCTCAGAGGAAATGGAAGGTATCTTTTATTTTCCTTAAACAAAAGTAGCATTTGTCTTTTTAATGTGTCCTTTGAAAGAAGTGTAGCTAAGTTTTCACTTACATTTTCATTCTAAATAGATTATTTGGGAGGAAAAAGTGTCTTATGTCAAAAGCTGTGATCTTGATTAAAGAATGCCACAGACCGAAACCAACTGGTATAAAAGTGGCATTTAGTTCATACTTATGTGGACACTTGAAAGGACAGAATGAAGTTTGAGCATATGTTCTCAGTGACAGTAGTAGGGAAGTGCTTGGAACTTACTGCTTGCAGCTTGAGATCTGATTCCTCCACATTTCAGCAAAAGGGGCTAGGAAAGCCCTATTGGTTTTAAAAGCTTCATCGTTTTGTTTACAACAGAATCCTTTGGTACCATGGACATAAAAAAAAAAAAAAATTGCCCTTCAGGAAAGTGGCTTTCCAACATTTTGATATCAACTCAGATCCTTGCTTAAAAAACAAAAATAAAAGCCTTTACCTAGAGAGCCAGTATAGAAAAATATATATACATACACACACACATATGAAACATATGATCCCAGCCTTTGCTAAACTGAGTGAAATGCACTCTGATATTTTCTATTCTATGGTATTTGGTTTCATTCAAAAGAGTGCAGTCATAACCCACCAATTTGACTTCATGACCCACTGGTGGATTGTGAATACAATGTGAAAAATTCCATTCCAAGGGGCTCCATTTTTCATGAGAAAAGGGCAGGATGACATATTTTCTTCATAACTTGCTCCCAAATGCCGAAGAGTCATGGGGCTGTTCTACTAGAATTTTGCCACAAACTTGTTTCCCCATTAGGTTCTCAGTTTTGAACAAACCCAAATGGCTAAACTTGCTTAAGTCCTTGTGTTATTTCTTCTTAAAACAATTGGTCTTAAAATATACTTTTTTTCCTTTTTTTCTCTTTAACATCAAGAAACATTTCTACGTGGTGACTGCTGCCAACAGGCTAAGGAAATTTCCAACTTGTCCCTAATTCGCAACTTGGCTGCTTCCATGGGTCCCAGAAGTTATGGACTGGTGGTGAAGTGATGACTCAAGAATTTTTTTTTCTTAAACAGTTTATTGTCAAGTTGGTTTCCATATAACACCCAGTGCTCATCCCAACAAGTGCCCTCCTCCATGCCCAATCACCTTTCTTCCCCTCTCCCCCACCCCCATCAGCCCTGTTTGTTCTCAGCATTCAAGAGTCTCTCATGGTTTGCCTCCCTCCCTCTCCGCAACTATTTTTCCCCTTCTTCTTCCCCATGGTCCTCCATTAAGTTTCTCCTAATCCACCTATACGTGCAAACATATGGTATCTGTCCTTCTCTGCCTGACTTATTTCGCTCTCAAGATTTTTAATAATCCAGTCTTGTGATGATATCAATTCCATTTATTTTGTAAAGAAAGCATATGGCTGTTGCCTTCCTTGTAGGTGAAAAGTGGCTGTAGGGAAAGTGACCCACAGACCTTTTTTTTCTGTCTTATAGGATCATACTAAGTTGAAATGCTGTGTTTACTTCTCAAGTACACCTACTTTTGGTGATAAATGTAGGCATGCTTTAGGTAGGTAGGAAAGCTTCCATTTTGTATATGTCAAATTTAAAGTCTAAGCTTACTCTGATTAAAGAACTCAGTAGACTTACACAGAGGTATGTTATGCAGCATTAATCTCCTCCAGTACAAAGAATTCCTAGAATTTTGATTTGCTCAAGTATGAGCTGACATTTTGTTGTACTACCCTGCTCTAGTGGAAAGCAATGTGGATTTAGGGGTAGTGATCCTCAAATTTGTTTTAACTTGTGCTCTTTTGAGAATCAAACCATGCATCCTTTAATATTCTTTGAAACTTCAAAAAATACCACCTGTCACGGATAAATCAGAACACTGATCATTTTGAATATGCTATTAAATCCATACACACCTCTACCCTCTCCTAAGTGGTCCTATTCTGGCATTGGTAGTCTTGTTTCTAATCTCCCTTCCATTATGAATTTATGGTCTAGGAAGTCTGGACACTGATTTGCAATATGTAAGAGAGAAGTAAGAGTGTAAAAATGGTTTTTAGCCTTCTGAGAGAAACACAGAATGATACTCATGAGACAATAAACTATTCTACTGCTTTATGGATAATACCATTTTCAATGCTGTCATTTAACTAACTTATAAAATGATTAACAAGAAGTACTCTATTATTTGAAAGTAAAGAATGCCTTTAATTTCCTTGCTTGTAACCTGATTTTTGTGCTATTCCCACGAACTTCTCAAGTCAGCAGTTGTTTAAGTTCTAGAACACTTGAACAAGTGGACAGAGATTTATGCAAAATGTTTACTGTAGCACTGTTGCTAATGTCTGTGTGAAAACAATCTCATATGCCTATCAGTATGGATTTAGTTGAATAAATTTTGCCACATCCATACAGGGAAATAATTTGTGGCTGTTAAACATAGATCTAGATGTACTGACAGCTATCTTTCTGTTACAGGAAAATTATAGGATAGACAGATAGATAGATATAGATAGATGGATCATCCCATTTGTGGAGAGACATGCATTAAAAATTTTTTTAATGTTTATTTATTTTGGAGAGAGACAGAGTGCAAGCGGGGAAGAGGCAGAGAGAGAGGGAGACACAGAATCTGAAGCAGGCTCCCGGCTCTGAGCTGTCACCACAGAGCCCAACTCGGGGCTGAATTGCAAAATCATGACCCAAGCCTAAGTTGGACGCTTAACCAACTGAGCCACTCAGGTGCCCCTAAAATTTTCTAGAGGAATCTCCACTTTTCACTTCACAACTTTCTGAATAATTTGAATTTTTATTTTTACAATGAGCATGTATTGCTTTTATAAAAATTAGCAATGCAATGTCAAGTGTGGACTTTGGTTTAACACTGATTTGAGCTAACAATAAAAAGATATTTTTGAGACATCCAGAGAAATAAAATTCTAAATTTCATATTTAATAATACATACAATTTCTATTAATTTTGTGAGATATGATAATGGCAATGTGGTTATAATGCAGGTTAAATGATTTCAGGAAAAAACTAGATACAGTTAAGCAAGTGTGGCAAAAATCTTTGTTAACTATTGGGTCTGAATGATCTGTTGGGTTTCATTATACTGGTCTCTTTACTATTCTATACATTTGAAAATTTTCATTATACTATTCTCCTTACTGTTCTATACATTTGATAAAAAGTTTTAAAATAGTTAAATAAACACAATGAGAAGGTGTTAAAGAATGAAGCGTCTTTGGTTATGATGCCAGAAGAGTAGGATGACCCTAAGCTTACATTCTCCTTTGAACACTCCTATATAAATATCAAATCATTCTGAATACCCAAGAAATCAATCTGAAGACGGAGAGAACAAAGCTGCACATCTACAAGCAGAAAATCATCCACCTTGTGGAAGGCAGGAACTGTGAGTTGATTTGGGAGTAAAAAGAGCTATGAGCCTGTGAATGGGAGGGAACCCTGACTGTGCAGGTGTGTGTGTGTGTGTGTGCAAGAGAGAGAGAGAGAGAGAGAGAGAGAGAGAGAGAGAGAGAGAGAGAGAACACATGGGCAGGGATTACACAGGAAAAACTCTTCTTCAAAGTCAATGATAGGGAAAAAGGAGATGGTTTAAATACCATAAGTTTTTTTATAAAAGTGAAGCACAGAGTCTGAAGTTTCAGAGGTCAGCGCCATGGCCAGGGTTATACCTGGCAGTGTTCCAGTCGGGGAGCAGGGAGGACACCAAGCAGTGGGCAGCATGGTCTGAGGATCACCTTGGTTTCATGGGGAGAGAGTTCCCTTGCTTGGAGTGCCTTTTGGGAGACGTGATACACGGCTTCTCCAGGGGCAAAATATCCTGCTGGGGTTTGAGCCACCCCATTCCCCAGCATAGGAACAAAGATGCGGATTGAGGGCAGTAAACTTTAGTGCTGGCTTTGTGCTGTGATTTACCAAACTCCTAACTGCTGCGTGGTTGCATGGCCATTTTCTGGGACAAGCTGTCACCAGCCACAGTGCAGTGAGACCCTCCTCCGGAGGATGACAGCAGGTCTGCACCATGGAGGTCTCTGAAATGTAAAGTTTTGAAACACAGCCATGTTTGAGTAAAACACAGGAGGGCTGTGCTGCCTGGCAAGCAGACAGCTTGGACAGTGGGGTGACTGGGATCTTATGATACAGGAGGGGTGATTGCTTGTCTGAGAGCTTCCTGAAGGCATGAGCTTCCCACTCCAGAAATGAGAGTGGAGCAAAGCCATTTTCACCCCCTGCCCTCCGGCACTGACAGACCTCAGTGAGCTAAACAGTGCCACCAAGTGGAGACTAGAGCTGCTACACCAAGCCCTGCAGATGCATCTCCACTAGGGCAAGTTGCCCTGAGAATAAGCCCAATAGGCCCTTCACCCAAGAGACCAGCACAAACCTCTGAGGCAAACTGAGTCTACTGATCAAAGTACTACAAAGCTTTAGTTCTAGGGGGAAATAGGATCTAGCTTCCTTTTTACTTATCTATTTTTATTTTAATTAAAGTTATTTATTCTTTAATACATTTTTAAAAAGTATATATTTTAAATATATATTACTAAATTATAAGTATATTTTATATATGTAAAATATATATTTAAAAATATATTTTAAAAAATTTTAATGAAAACATTTCTTAATGTTTATTTATTCTTGAGAGAGAGACAGAGCATGAGTGAGGGAGGGGCAGAGAGAGAGAGGGAGACACAGAATTTGAAGCAGCCTCCAGGTTCCAAGCAATCAGCACAGAGCCCGACGCTGGGCTTGAACTCACAAACCATGAGATAATGACCTAAGCAGAAGTTGGGATCTTAACCAACTGAGCCATCAAGGAACCCCCAAAATTTAAAAATTTTTATTCATCTTTATGAATATAAGTATATATATTTTTTTAACTATTTTTTGGAGTTAGCTTCCTTTAACAAGCAGACCAAAATGCACATAGGATTTTTTTTCCCCAGGACAAAATGACAGGATGAAGGAATTCACTCCAAAAGAAAGAAGTAGAAATTACAACCAGAGATTTAATCAATATAGATGTATTGAACTAAATATCTTAAACTTAAAACAACAATTATAAGGACACTACCTGGGCTTGAAAAAAAAAAGCATAGAAGACACCAGAGAATCCCTTACTGCAGAGATAAAAGAACTAAAATCTAGTGGGTCAAAATTTAAAATGCTATAACCAAGATGCAAACCTAAATAGATGCCAAAACAAGGGTGGATGAAGCAGAGGAACGAATCAGTAATATAAAGATAAAATTATGGGGGAAAAAAAGGCTGGAAATAAAAGGGAAACAAACGTAATGGATCACAAAGGTAGACTTAAGGAACTCAGAGACTTTTTTTTTCCATAATTAGTATTACTTTACTATTGTTTTATTTATTGGTTTCAGGATAGACTTTAGTGACTCATTATTTACGTATAACACCCAGTGCTTGTCACAAGTGCCCTACTTAATTCCCATCACCCATTTAGCCCATCCCCCCAACTTCAGCAATTACTTAAAATGTAATAAGATTCATATCATAGGAATACCAGAAGAGGAAAAGCAGGAAAAAGGGGCAGGTTTTTTTGAGCAAATTTTAGCTGAAAACTTCCTTATTCTGGGGAGGGTTACAGACATTTAAATCCAAGAAACGCAGATAATTCCAATTAAATTCAACAAAAACCGGCCATCGCCTAGATGTATCATAGTGAAATTCACAAAATACACAGATAAGGAAAAAATCCTGAAAGCAGCAGGGGAAAAAAATCCTTAACCTACAAGGGAAGACAGATCAGATTTGCAGCAGATCTGTCCTTAGAAACTTGACAGGCCAGAATATATTCAACATGATGAATGGGGAAATATGCAGCCAAATATACCCAGCAAGGCTGTCATTCAGCGTGGAAGAAGAAAGTTTCCCAGACAAAAATGAAAGGAGTTCACTAAACCAGCCCTGCAGGAAATACTAAAGGAGACTTTTTTTTTAATGTTTATTTTTGAGAGAAATAGAGTGGGAGGGGCAGAGAGAGAGGGGGACAGAGGTTCTGAAGTGGGCTCTATGCTGGCAGCAGAGAGGCTGATGCAGGGCTTGATATCATGAACTATGAG